CAGCGATTGAGGCGACGCCGGACGAAAACGTGCCGTCTTTGCACTGCTGGGTGTACTGCCCCCAAGCCGTGCCAACAACGAAGAATCCACGGAAAGACGAGAAGTTGATGCACGGCGCAAAGGAGAGCGAGAGGGAGGGTGCGTTCCAGTGCTGGCCAGCTGCCACCTCAAACAGCGAGAACCCGCTCATCTGCCGCGTATAGTGGTCGCCGCACTCGATCTCGTTGAAGGGGCTGCGGCGCGTGCCGTCGTATTGGTCGCGCGCGTCTGTCAGCACGTGCATAGCCGTGTCAACGTCGCCCGCCATCATACACAGCCCACTGAATGGATACACAAGCCCGGTCCAGATGGCCTCCGACGTGTACAACAGCGCGTTCTTTGGCGGCGGGTTCTCTGGGCCGCCCCACGTTGCAATGTACATGCCTGCATCACGTGAGTCACAGAACTTTCGCGGAGCCTGGCGGGCTGGATCAAACGCATCCACGTGGTTGTACTTGAAGCAGTTCTGCAGCGTACTCAGCACGTGCGCCGGCGGAAGCATCGCACCAATGCCGAGGAACTGCGCCCACCACTCGCCTTGTTGATGGTTGATGATTGTATGCGCACATGTGTGAAGTGTGTGATCATCATCAGGGGCGTTGTACGAGCAAGTACAGCATTCACCACCCCCTCCCCCCCACACAAAATGGCTCACAGCTAACACACACACACACACACACACACACACACACACACACACACACACACACACACACACACACACACACACACACACACACACACACACACGCGCGCGCGCGCGCGCGCGCACGCACAGAGCATGCCACGGAAATACAACCACATGCAGCAGTTCAAGCACACATGTGACCAACGCACCGAGAAGCGAGTCAACGAAGGTGGATTCGCCGATGATGTTGGTGTCGTGGGCAGGATCAACCACTTGCGTGTACCATTTCCCGTTGGTGAAGCAGAGCTTGTCGTAGTTGGCCACGCTCAGCTTGAAGCGCGCGCGAAACTTGGCTGCAGAGTCGGGGTCGTTCTGATGCGATGGCGGCAGAGAGTGTTGATGATGTGTGAAAACAAACACACACAAACACACACAGCTGGCGGACAGCGTTGGCTCATCCAATCCCGCGCTTCTCCAACATACACACACAGTTGCAAGCACAGTTGCACATGCGCAGAGTAACAAACGCAGATACACACACATACGCCCCTGCGGAACCTTCGGCTCACCTGCAGGACAGCCATTTCTTCTGCGGCGCGGAGTGCGCACATGTACAGGGAACCGATGAACGAGTTGGCGCCGTGCAAGGCGACGTCATACGTTGACGGCTGTGCACCACGCACAACACCATCTCCCTGGCGGATGATGCAACAATAGGCCGCGGCACATGCCATCACACATGGACGATGTTGAGATGAGGAGTGATTGCTGGGTGTGCTTGCAAACGCGCGAATGCACATGCACAAACATGCGAGAGTGTCTGTGTTCGCTGTTGATTGATTCTGTGTGTGTGTGTGCGTGTGTGCGTGCGTACATGTGTGCATGTGTGTGTGTGCGTGCGTACATGTGTGCACGTGTGTGTGTGTGTGTGAACATGCTTGGGTTCACAGTGGCACCTGTGCATCCATGATGATGAGCCAGCGCTCCATGATCTTGAGAACTTGGTGGTATTTGTCCTTGAACCACGAGGATGGCGCGCCCATCAGCACCTGCGGGAACGAGCGGCACATGGCAGTTGTCCCGTGAAAACAAACCACGGGCCCGAAAAAACAATCGAAGCGAACACAGAACGTTCTTCAGCGCACGCGCATCAGCGCATCAACATACCCTTACACGCTCTTACGCCAGGGTAAAACATAAGTTGAAGAATACAACACTCACACGCACACACGCATATACACGTTTGCATGCGCACCTCACGATATGTCTTGATGACAGTACAGATTTCTCCGTCGGAGCAGATGGTCTGATCGAGACTGCGGTCCTCATCGTCCGGCCAGAACGACCACTGACACACAGACACACACACACACACAGACACAGACACACACAGACACACACACACAGACAGACAGACAGACACAGACACACACAGACAGACACACACACACGTGCAGATGAGGACACGCAGGTTGGGGAAGAGTGTGAGGAAGCAACAGGGCAACAAGCGAGGGGACATTGCAGTTGTGGCAGTAATCGTGTGCAGACCTGACGACGAAGCCAGATGGGAACGGTGGAGCGGCTGGGGAGAATGCCTTTGAAGCACAAGGACAAGAGGAGGAGGAGGAGGAGGAGGAGGAGGAGGAGGAGGAGGGATTAGAGTGAGAGAGGTGAAGCCACGCGCAGCGCGTGGAATTGTGACGTTGCGGCAGTACCACGCACACACACACACACACACACACACACACACACACACACACACACACACACACACACACACGCACACACATGCGTATGCATGCACGCCGCAGCGGTGTCGCGTGTGTCTTACCGTTTGGAGAGAGCTGCAGGTCGAGGTCGTTTGTGCGCATGGACTGCTCAAGATCCGGCCACAGGCGCGAGAGGGCAACAGAGTAGTCGAGCACGTGCGTACAGTTGAGGGGACAGCAACCGCTGTCACTACTGCAGCCCTCGAAGTTGTAGAAGCTGCTGTCACCCAGCCACATGCACGAGGGCGAGCGCGGGATGCTGGCAGACATGGCGCACGATTGCACAATCTGTTGTTGCAGATTTGGTTGTGTTGTGTCGTGTGCATGTGTTGTGTTGTGTGCATGTGTTGTGTTAAAGTTGTTGCGAGTGTGTTGTGTTGGGTTGTGTCGATTTGGGTGTGAATACGTCGGGTGTGTACTGTGCATTGTGCAAGCCACATGAGCGCAACACGCACGTGCTGTGCAAACGCAGCACACAAGAATCACACCGTTGAGAACACAAACCTGGTACGGCAGGTTGGACGTGTGCATGGCATCGCGGAACTGTCGCGTCTGTGCTTGCAGCGCCTGCGCACACACACACACACACACATGCACACACACACACATGCACACACACGCACATGTGAAGCAGGTAGACAAGCACATAGCCCAAGCCCAAGCGTGGTCGAGGAAGGTGCAGTAGAGCACAGCCTTAACATGACACACACACACACACTCACACACACACACAAACAAAAGTCGTGCAACCGGGGCTGAATGTGACGTAAGGGCATCAAACAAGGCGAGCGACGGTGCCAGTCAGTGTGCGTGAGCCCACCTCGCCCGTGTTCTTGGCGTACTCGAGCACTTCTGTGATTGACGGCCAGAAGTTGGCATATGCGTTTCCAAGCCAGTACTGTGACTTGGTGTCGTCAATGTAGAACCCTGGTGCCACAGTCGCATCACACGTGTAACTTCGTCAGCCCACACGCGCACTGGGCACTTACAGCAAACAGCAACCGCACACAAGAACACCAGACAAAGGCGCAGGAGACGGACAGACACATGCGTGACACATGATACGCTCTCGGGCGAGTGATGACTTGCCCTTCTGGCTCCAGTTGACATATCGGTTTGGGAAATGCCATGCAAGCACAAAGGTGATGGTGGTCGTTGCTCCGGCAGCGAGAGTGCGTGACACACACACAGCACCGTTCCATGTCTTGCCCGACGGGGAAGGAGTGGACTGGCCCTGAAGAGTGTGAGCACACACGACAACAGCGTGAGATGTGTGGTGTGGGGCATATGTGGCAGTGGTGGTGGTAGCGACGGCGACTGTGCCATCTTCAGATCATGAGCGCACATTCGACATTCGTTCGATTGCACCCACGACACATTCAACACTTCACGCACACACAACAACTGAAACAACAACAACAACAACAACAACAACAACAACAACAACAACAACAACAGCAGCAGCAGCAGCAGCAGCAGCAACCTGGCCTGGCAGCTTGCCCGTCTTGGCAAAGTGGGACCAGAGCGTCTTGTGTGCATCGTATTGCAGCATGGTCGACACCTCTGACGAGTCGCCCGTCAGCGCGGCGATGGCAATGTGGCCGGCCTGCGGATCCGTGTCCTGCACACATGCACATATGCACACACATGGTGTGAGTGCTGCCAAACACACTTACACACCCACACACACACCCACACACACACACACACACACACACGCACACAGCCACGGGCGCACAAGGTGTATATGTGCCCCAACGTTTCCTCCAGCCCACTGTGCTGTATGCTGTGTTGCTCTCACCCTGAACTGCGTGCTGGTCATATCTACAGCGGTCACGCCGTCCATTGTCATCTTCGCATTCACATTCCCGCCGTAACCGGCAAACTCGGTCTCATTCTCAATCGCCGTCTCCCCGTCCCACCCTGCACCGCCAGAACACACGTGCGTGTGTGTGTGAACATCAGGGTGAGCATGGATGCACGAGAGGAAGGGAAGGATCGGTGAAGCCATCGCATTGTGGACACACGACACTGCGTCGCTTTGGTCGAAACGCACCGACGAGGTTGTGCTGCGACATCAGCAGCGACACATCCACGGCATCAGACGTGGTGTTGGTGAGCGTGAAGTTGAAGAAGATGACAGGCAGGCCGCTGTTCTTGCTGTCGAGGGGAATGCACGGACACATGCACTCCATGGATGCCTGCACAGCGCGGGCACAGAGGCAAGCAGCGTACGTACACATGTGCAGCATACATGTACACATCAGTACGAGTCGCGCGCATGTGGTCAGTGCGTGCGTGTGCGTGCATGTGTTTGCTCAACGTGTGAATGCGTGTGGTTGATCAGTGTGCGTGTGGTTGATCAGTGTGCGTGTGGTTGATCAGTGTGCGTGTGGTTGATCAGTGTGCGTGTGCGCGTGTGTGGACAGGCACAGCCCACATGTCACGATGCATGCCACTGCCTGAGGAAACAGCGACACAGCGCGTGCCAGGGCCACCACCTTGATGCCGTTGTTGAGACTGGTGTAGTCGACGTCCATCACGGGGTATTTGCCCTCAATTTCAATCGCAGACAAGTGCGGGAGGTCCTTCAGCAGCTGGTGACAACATAAATCGGCAGCGAACGTGAGGCAGCGCGCGTGGGAAGTGTGCTTGTGTGATCTTGTGTGGCATGCGCCCGCGTTTGCGTGCGTGCGTGCATGCGCGTGTGTGTGTATGCGTGTGTGAACACGTATGTCGTTTGTGTCTGAGTGTGAACACATGTGCCTTTTGTTTGTGCTTGTGTGTGCTTGAGTGCGTGTGTGTGGGACATACGAACACAGGCACAAGGTCATAATATTGCAGCGTGAAGCACTCGGGTGTGTAAACGGTGCGCGTACACAGTCACCAGTGAAGCCGGACTGGTCATAATTTTCGTCAGACTAAACGCAATACCCCACAAGCACACGCGTTTGTGTTAGCTGACTGGTCATAATTTTCGTCAGACTAAACGCAATACCCCACAAGCACACGCGTTTGTGTTAGCTGTTGGCGTCAGAGGTACACAGGTTGTGCGCACGTGTGCACACGCTCCAGGCGGTCACACACGCACGCACGCATGTTCAAACACAAAACGCACACACACTTACATACACACACGCACACACACACGCACACACACGCACGCATGTACACACATACACACACGCACACACACACATACACACACAAACCACCACTATCTCTTCCTTTTGATGCACCTGCAAAACGCGAGCATCAACGCCGCCCTTGCCATCGTTGGTGTAGAGGGCAAAGAAGCTGTCGGGCACGTGCGCATCGTGACAGATGCGGTTGAGGATTTGCCACTGCCGCAGCCCCCCATCGCCTGTTGGTGCAGACACACGCGGACATGTTAGGGCCATGTCAGATGAGAGAGCATTCCCAAACACATTGCAAACAAAGGACTACAGTCACAGGCGCCAACAATGCTCATATGCACACATAAACGCCCGCACACACCACACACACACATACACGCACACACGCGCGCGCATACGCTGGTATGTGCTCATATTACCTGCAAGGGCAATGCAACCGCCTCCGCAGGGTCCAAGTGGACACGTGAACGCTCTCAGACTGGTTCCTGATGACACCACACATGCAGACACATGTAAACAAGACGCGCACGACACACACACACACACATACACGCGCACACGCACACGTGTGCACAAGAAAACAACAGTGCATGTGTGTACGTGAGTGCGAGCATGTGAGTGCGTATGAGTGTGTGTGCAGGTGTGTAATTCGTGTCAAAATGCAGACGGAAAGTGCGCTGTTGCTCATTGCTTTGTTGAGCTGCGTGCACGCCAACGACCATTATGTCAGTGGTCATACGAAGAAGCGTGCAAGGGGGGCAGGTGCCAGTCACGGCTTCACCGGAATAGCGAAACTGGTCCGCTGTTGGGTTGTTTTCCTTTGGCAGTGGCGCGTCTTGTTTCTGGATAACATGATGTGTTGGGATGGTGCAGGACAGGAAGCAGTGCAAACAGATTGCTGGTATGAGGATGGTGGGATCGAGGCGATAGTTGCGGTTGCGATTTTCATGCGCCGTGTCAAACATGGGCATCATGTTATGTATGGAAAGCATGTCATCGGCAATGCGACATTGGTGGCACGCATATGTGACGCACGCGCCGACTGCCACCAAAGTGTGCAAGTGTGCCTTTACCACGTGCTGCCAGTCCCACACACGCGGGTCCCGACTGCGCCGCAGTTCCTCGTCGGTCATGAACATCTCCGGGTATGCGTTCTTCGGTGGGCCACAGCAGGAGGCGGTGGAGGTTGGGGAGGACGAAGCAGCGGTGCGCGTCTCCTGGGCGCACGTCTTGGTGGAGGAAGCGCAGCATGGGTGCTCTGCATCGATGGAAGGACAGCAAGAGGACGGTGGTGTCGGCCCGCCAGGGCAACACGGTGTTTGCTGCTTCTGCGCAAGCGCCTGCTTGGAAACGCAGGCGCTGGCCTTGTCCACTTGCAGGAAGAGTTTGGCCGGGTACAGTGTCACGGCCGATGTCCAGTCTTCATCCCTACCCAACATCCACAGTGAATGAGCGACAGCAACATAGACCACGCGAATTCGCAAACTCCGCGCCTGGCCATCAGGTGAAGGAACTGAACTGCCACACGAGACACACAAAGACTTTTGATCTGACAAACATCAACAGCGACACACACAAAGGTAGACAGAAAGATAGACAGGTACACACACACACACACATACACGCACATAGACAGATAGACAGGGGTACACACACACACGCACACACACACACACACACACACACACACACACAAAGGTAGACAGACAGATAGACAGGTACACACACACACAGCATCGCAAACACACACACACACACACACAAAAGGACAATACACAAATACACAACACACACACACAACATCGCAAACATACACACACACACACACACACACTCTCTCTCTCTCTTACGAAGAGATGGTGATCCAGTCATCCTCATCGTCGACGTATTGCACGCGTGACAGTGCAAAGCCCAGTGTGCGCTGCAGGTCTGATTGCACTTCCTCCCATCGCGCATGCGCCGCCACCTCCTGCAATCGAGGCGAGGCGAATGGGTGGAGGGCACGGTGGGGTAGTTGCAAGGTTGAGTGTCAAAGTGCACATGTGAGAGACGCGTGGCACATTCGTCATGATGCCAGTGGTGGAGTGCACATCAAGCAGACGCTAACACTGCAGTTGCAAGGGCACGTGCACGTGCAGTGCTCCTGCTCTGTCACAGTTGTGCGACTCACATGCAATGGCTTGCCATTCACCACCAGGTGCACCATGATGACGCTGATGTGGTGTGCAGTGAAGGGGTGGGGAAGGCGATGCAGCAACAACACTGCGCCAACACCCTCTGTTGTTTGTGCGTGGAGAGAAACACAAACAAAAACACGTTACATGAATAAACTTCATATAAGTACTTGTCTCCACTCCGTCGAGATCCCCCATGGTCTAATGGCTAGGATACGACGCTCTCACCGTCGGGGTCGGGGTTCGATTCCCCGTGGGGGAGGGATCTCCTACTTTTTGGTCGTTCTTTTAATATTTTTCAATGATTCGTTGCGATTTTATCTGTCCAGCGAATTTTTGTGAACGACACCACATGTACTTAATTCAGTCGATCTTTGGGGGTGCGTCTGCATTCCCGGTGGCCCACATTCGGCTGTAATTGCACCTGCAATTGGCAAATCAGCTCCTTTCCCAGTCGGCCACACCGCAAAACAACCAAAGCCCAAAGTGTCTGAGCAGACACCTCTAACTCATGTAAACCAACCAACAACCCGGCCAGACGGAGAGAGAGAGAAAGAGAGAGGGAGAGAGAGAGAGAGAGAAAGTATGCGTCCGTGTGTGTGTGCGTGTGCGTGACTTAATAGGGCCCTGTTAACCGCCTGTGCGGGTTTTATTTGGTGTGACATTCCCTGCACGAGATCTTCTATATTGCTATTCAACCACATCAACAACCATGTCTCGAACTACAAAGACGCGTGCATCCTCAGACTAACACAGGATGCGCCCCACACGCGCAGGTCCCTCCTAGTGTCATTCATATGCAGCAGAACACGTCACAGTGAGCAGGGTGTAACCGCAAACACACCACACACGCACCACCCCATATGGCGCACCATGTGCAAGCGCGCGTGCACCCCGGTGTGGGCGGTCCAACACCAAAACTGGCAAAACTACGCACCTCAAACTAACACAGGATGCGCCCCACACGCGCAGGTCCCTCCTAGTGTCATTCATATGCAGCAGAACACGTCACAGTGAGCAGGGTGTAACCGCAAACACACCACACACGCACCACCCCATATGGCGCACCATGTGCAAGCGCGCGAGCACCCTGGTGTGGGCGGTCCAACAACAAAACTGGCAAAACTACGCACCTCAAACCTAGCGCGGATGCGCGCCACACGCGCAGGTCCCTCTAGCGTCATTCATATGCAGCAGAACGCGTCACAGTGAGCAGGGTGTAACCGCAAACACACCACACACGCACCACCCCATATGGCGCACCATGTGCAAGCATGCGTGCACCCCGGTGTGGGGCGGTCCAACACGAAAAACTGGCAAAACTACGCACCTCAAACTAACACAGGATGCGCCCCACACGCACGGGCACCCATTGACACGGGTCGCAAGTGCCACACTTCGTCGCAGTGAGTAAGAAAAGGTCAGAAACGATGAACGCACACCCCGCCATGTGGTATGCCGTGTGCGCAGTCTTACAGAGGTCTTGACGAACAATTGAGATGTCCTCCTACGCTGTGATGAGCCTGGTCAGCTTGCTTGGCTGAAAGGACTGGGCAGATCGCCTGCACAACCGGTGGCCAGTGGTGTTATGTGAGCGTCGTGCATGAGCAGAGAAACAACGCATCGGCACGACACTGGCATCAGCATGCACGCCCACGGGGAAAGTGAACGAACAAACAAGCAAGCAAGCAAAAATACATAGAAACAAACACACATATGCATACACACACAGGAGCGCATGTTCATTCACGTGAACAACAGCTCAACGAACCAGGCTGTAGTTTGGTCGGAGTCACGTCGACAGAGGCAACCGAGCTTCGGCCACCCACCATCTTCTCGCGGATGCGCGGGTTTGGTGCCTGATGTTGACATTCCTCTTGAGCTTGCTGCCGCCGCCGCCGCTGCTGTTGTTGTTGTTGTTGTTGTTGTTGTTGTGGTTGTTGTTGTTGTTGTTGTTGTTGTTGAGGCACCTGTGGTTGTTGTTGTTGTTGTTGTTGTTGTTGTGGCACCTGTTGTTGTTGTTGAGGCACCTGTGGTTGTTGTTGTTGTTGTTGTTGTTGTTGTTGTGTGGTTGTTGTTGTTGTTGTTGTTGTTGTTGTTGTTGTTGTTGTTGTTGAGGCACCTGTGGTTGTTGTTGTTGTGGTTGTTGTTGTTGTTGTTGTTGTTGTTGTTGAGGCACCTGTGGTTGTTGTTGTTGTTGTTGTTAGAGGCACCTGTGGTTGTTGTTGTTGTTGTTGAGGCACCTGTGGTTGT